TGTTTCTTTCTCTAACAGCTTTTAGTATTCTGTTCTTGTGCTGAATTTCTAGGATCTTGATTATTTTATACTTTAGATTTGATTTAATCATAGTAATTGGGGTTCTATATGCCTCACTTATTAGTATGTCAAATTCTTTTTCCATTTCTGGAAAGTTTTCTGCCATTACTTGTGTAAATAATATTTTCTGTTATTTGTACTGACACTTGCTATTTCATTGACTCCAATCAATCTTATGTTATTGTTCTTTACATCATTTGCAGGTATTGAATTGTTTTTCCTAGTCTGTAGTTATTTTTAAGAGATCTCTCCTTTCATGAACACTAGCCATAATCCTATCTTCTAGGTCTGATATTCTATCTTCACTTTTATTAATGCAGTTTTGCAAACTTTCAATGGAATTTTTAATTTCTTGGGTATCTGTTTGAATTTTTCATGCATTTCATTTCTTTCTTATGTTGGCTATTCATGGTATCCATCATTTTCCTATGCTTCTCTGTTTATTTATCTATGTCTATTCTAGATTTGCTGAGGAAGTCCTTCATTATAGTCATCATCTCTTTTTTTACCTTAGAGATTATTTCTGATCTGATTTCCTCTATAGCATGGTAGATTTGTTTCTTTACTTCTGTTGCTATCATTTCAGAAATTTCAGATATGTGGTTTCCATTTTCCTCTATGTCATTGTCCCCAGAACTTGTTCTTGATGGGGTTGCATTTTGTTTCTGCATATTGCCATTTTTCTATTTTTTAAATTTGTATTTTGTTTTCCATGTTTATTCTTATAAGTTTTATAGTTAATAACTTTATACTAGTATCAAGGCCTTGCTTGGAAATGTCTGTTCTTCAAGGATGTCTTCTAGGTGTTGGAGGTTCTTGGTTTTTGTGTGTATCTGAAGATCCTACCTTCCCAATTTATTATGGGTGACATATTGGTATTCATTTGGCTCAGCCCCCAGTCCTTTGTTACTATGGTGATGGTTATTACCCCAGACTCCAGTGTTGTTATATAAGGAAGAATAACAGATATGACATCTAGCTAAAGTAGTACAATTAGCAATAACAATAGCACCAAGCACAGGTTAGAAACTGACAAACTATGGTAACTATTATTTTGTTAACTTTAACCACAGGAGCAAGATTTACAGTTGTATAATAGAACCCAACATAAATTGGGAGCTTGTATGCAAAGTGTTTCCCCTTGGTATAGTGGTTTTACCCCATGGTGGGGAAATTTAAGAGGGATAGCTGATAAACAGAGATAAATGAAGAGAAATATACTAGAAACAAGGCTGGAAGACAAAGGATTGTCACATAAGCTTTGGAAAAGTAGAGAAGAGAGATTATCATCAAAGATAGCCAAGAGAGGATTGTCAAAGCTGTCCAGAAAGACTAGAGAGAATATGCACTTACATGAAATTATCATTAAATCAAAAGAGATAATTGATGAAGGGGAGAATGACAAATAGATTAGATCAAACAATATAGGTGAAAGACTTAAAAGATAAAAGAAGAAGAATAAAAATGTAACAAACCAGCAAAGAAGGAATAAAAAAGGAAATAAAGAAAATATAATAAAAAATAAAGTTCTGGGCTGGGGATTTAGCTCAGCGGCAAAGTGCCTGCCTGGCAAGCGCAAGGTCATGAGTTTGGTTCCTGGTACCGGAGAAAAACCAAAAATAAATAAATAAATAAATAAAGTTCCTCTGGTGTCCACAGAGAGCCCAAACCTACTGGGTAACCCCTCCAAACCTGCAGTAGAATTAGTACTGGATGTAGGGCTAATCGTGGCCTCCACATGTGGGGCTCTGGGGCCAGAGTCTTCAGCCAGTACTTTCTGTATGTTCCTTAATGGCCCACCCACTCCTTACCCTGTGTGTCTCTGTGTCTCTCTCCCAGTTTTGTTCTACCCTCAGACAGAGACCGTGGGTTGCTCTCATTCCCATGTATAGTTGGTTCCTCCTGGTCCTTGCACAGCCTCCTGTGTTCCTCTTCCACTGGCACATCTCTGTCCTCTCAGGTAGCTTGTTGCAGGGTGGGGTGGGGTACTGTGCTGTGAGCTGACCCTCTGCTTCTGCAGGTGCTGTCCAAGGCTGCTCAGTCTCAATTCTACCTCCTCTCCTGAGAGGGGAGTGCTAATCTCCCACTTGTTGCTGCACACAGCACAGTGTTGCTTAAGTCCCACATCCCTCATGCTACTGGTAGCAGGGTGGGCGAGGTCCTGCTGCTCCATCCGTGCTGTCAGCAGGCACCTCCACTGCCGCCACCACACCCTGTGCTTTGGTTGGTAACCTTGCTCCCTCACTGCTTGTGCCGCTGCTATTTGTTGCTGTTCTACTCTGTGCTTTCACCAGCACCTCCACCACCACCGCTGCACTGCCCACCTCCATTGTGGTCTGTAGTCTCTTGTTGCAGGGGGAGGTGGGATGGGGTACTATGGGCTAATTTTCTGCTCCAGCCACTGTTATGGGGACAGCCCCAGGTTGCTCAGTCACATGGTGCAAGGCTGCTTAATTCTGCTTTCCTCTAGCCACTGGTCATGGAGCAGGAAGGGTCATGCTGCTCCATTCACTACATGCCCCTGCAGTATTTAATCTTATCCCTAGAGGTTTCAGTTAGCAATCTGGCACACAAAAGGAAAGGAAAGGCAAGGACAGGACGGGACAGCAAAGGAGAGCAAAGGAGAGGAAAGAAAAGAGGAGAAAAGAAAAGAAAGATAAGGAAAGAGAAGAGAAGAAAAGAAAAGAAAAGAAAAGAAAAGAAAAAAGAAAAAAAGGAAAAAGACAAAGAAAAGAAAAGAAAAGAAAAGAAAAGAAAAGAAAAGAAAAGAAAAGAAAGAGAACAAAAGTGCTGGCTGCTTAATGGGAGGAGCAGATCACTCACTCCTGTGTGTGCTGGTGGAATTTGCTGCCAGGCTACAGTGTCCTCTGTTTGAAGGAAGGTAAAAGAGGCAAGGGACAGACTTTATGTCCCAAGTCTATCCTGTGTGGCATGATTTAGCTACACTATTTTAGTCTAGCCACTTTTTTCTTTTTCTTCTTTTAAACTCCATAGTATGATGGTCCTGTTCCACCCATGGTATGGAGACCCACTGGCAGCCTTGTGGGCTGGATCACCATGTCATTAAGTCCTCTAGCTATGTTTTGTTTGATCTATGAGTCTCTTATTTCAGATTGATTCTGGCTTTAGGCTGTATGACCTTTCCTTTCTTCCAGTTACCTTTGTTTTTAGTTGAATTTCTCTGAGTAGCTCTGAACATGCTCCTCCTCTATTCAGCCATGTTTCTTCCATTACAAAACTGTTTGGATAACTTCATTGTTACGGAAATCTTGAAATTGAGAAATGAATTCCATGGAGCATTCTGTTCATCACTTTGGCGTGGTTTTGACTCTTCTAAGTATTTTTCATTTCCATGCAATTTTAATTTCTGCCCCCTTAAAACAATCCTTTATAATACATTAATAAAGGTTATATTGAATCACTATATCAATTTGAGAATTATCATCATAAAAAGAGGAATGAGGGACCAGGGAGACAGCTCAGCAGCACAGCGCCTGCCTGGCAATCGCAAGGTCTGAGTTCATTTCCTGGTACCAAAAAGAAAAAGAGGAGTGTTCTTACAGGAACCAAAAGTAGATCCTTGGTTGCCTGGGGCTGGGAGTATAGGGAAGTTGGAGGGTAACAGCTAGGCAGTTCAAAAGTTTCATCTTCAGGTAATGAAAATGTCTAACTTTGATTATGGCAGTAGATACACAATTCTGTGAGTATACTGAAAAGCACTGAATCTTACATTGTAAACAAGTGAAATGTACAGTATGGAAATTATATCTGGATACAGTTATGCTTGAATGCTTGAACACTAAAGTTAATTATGTATTTATTTTCCTCAGCAATGTAACCTTCCGTGTACAAACTTTTCCTCTTTTTTGTTACTCTTATTCCTACCTTTTAAAATCTTTTTGCTATCACTGTGAATGAAATTTTTTAAAATTTAGCTTTTGATTACTCAGTGCCCATATATAGAAATATAGTTGTTCTCTATGTCCAGCAATGCAATTTTATGATGTTTCTTTTAAATCAGTTAACAGAAAAAGAGTAAAAAATATTTATTGTTTTGCATGTTTACCTAAACAATTACCATTAAAGTACTGTATATTTCTTTTATGGACTGCAGTTACCAGCCAGTGTTGTCTCAGCCTGAAGGATTTACTTTGCTATTTCATGCAGGACAGGTCCTCTGAAAAAATCAAGAAAATTCCTCAGTTTTTGCCTATCTAGGAATTTTTTCCATATTTATTTTTGAAGGACAGTTTTGCTGGCTAGAAAATTCTTAGCGGTCCATGTTTATTTCAGCAGTTTGAATATGTCATCTCATTGTCTTCTAACCTTCATTGTATCTTTTCCTTTTCTTTTTCTTTTCTCTTTTTCTCCTTGTTCTGGGGATCAAACGCAGGGCCTCTTACATGTAGGCGAGTGTGCTACCACTAAACTAAACCCCCAGACCTACTTGTCATTGCTTCTTTGAGAATTCAGATGTTAAAATTTTAACAACTGTACCCAGATGTAATTTCCATACTGTACATTTCACTTGTTTACAATGTAAGATTCAGTGCTTTTTCAGTATACTCACAGAATTGTGTATCTACTGTCATAATCAAAGTTAGAACATTTTCATTACCTGAAAAAGAAACTTTTGAACTGCTTAGCTGTTACCCTCCAACTTCCCTATACTCCCAGTCCCAGGCAACCACGGATCTACTTTTGGTTCCTGTAAGAATCGTCTGTATTAGATGTTATACACGTGAGAACTTACAACATAAGGCCTTTATTACTGGTTTCTTTCACTTAACTCTGTCTCTGAAACTGTCCATTTAAATGTGTCTTTGTTTTCTTAATTGAATGATCTAAAATATGTGTAGTTAATTTCATTTTCTTAGTAACTCACATCTATTAGCAAACATACATGATTAATAGCTAACCTATTCTCTAAATTCTTCTAGAAAACTTTGATGACTCTTCACCCTATTCAACAGAACCTCCAAAAGCAACTTATAACACATCTAGAACTGCTTCACAACCTTCCAGATTTACCCCATTTCCTTCACTGAATAAAATGCCATCAGGTAATTTTTAACACTTTTGTTTACAATATGATTTTTTTTAAATAAAGTTTTCATTACATAGAAATAATGAAGTTTGAGTCATAAAACACTTTATCAAATGATGCTAATTTTATTACTATAGCCAAAGTCAACATAGCTGTTGCTATACACTGGTCTTCTTAAGATGCCAATATCTAGATTGCCTTGGGGTCGTTAACAATACTGTGGCCCATTCTGGAGAACTGGGTACTGGGCCAGATGTGCTGCAACTTCCCTCCCATGTCAAGTAGACAGAGAGGCAGTTGGATCCAGGGACAGAGGCAAAGGCTAGTAGTTCTCCATCCTAGAAGATACTGCTGAAAAGTAGGCATTAACTAAAGAGGTCTCCATGCTAGAAAAAAAATTTTCCACTGCCGTCAAGCACCAGGCTCAACACAAAACAAACAAAAAGGTGGAAGGTGGGGGTCCTTAACAGCAATAGAAAGTATTTGGGCCTGCTTCTGAAAAGGAGGTGAGCTGGGCATGGTGTCACATACCTGTAATTCCAGCACTCAGGAGGCTGAGACAGGAGGATCACTGTGAGTTCAAGGCCAGCCTGGGCTAAAAAGTGAGTTCAAAGCCAACCTAAACTGCATAGTGAGACCCTGTCTCAAAAAAAA